TTCATATTAGACAAAAATTGTATCTCTTTTGAGAGTGAGCCATTCAGATACATGTATGTAACAGTTTTTTATTTTTACGCAATTAACCTACTGTAGCTTCAATCATAATAATATTTTTAGTTTGAAGTCGTATCACGGTTAGCTTAAAATCTAAAATTAAAACAGGAATATGAATTTCGGAAGTCTTACGATTAGAAGTGTAAACCGACGAGCTGAGTCACCGCTGTCGGTGGGACGAAAAAATTAGCAGTTTTGAAGATTTTTCGACGCCTGAGATCACTTTTCAACGATGTTTCTGTTCAGTTTTTTTATCAGTCTGTTCTCTACCATTTTTTTCTCTTTTTCCACCCGATAATTTCTCAGAAATAAGAAAATCTTAAAAAAATCGTCCAACAAATTCACTCGCCTTCGCCGACAGACAAAAAAGTTGAATATGCTCAGTCGTTTGAGAAAGAAAAAAAATTAAATAAGACTTACACACCGCCAATCTACGGACTGGTTTACGCTTCTGCTTACGGAAGTGGAAATAAATTTTTTTTCCGAGAACGAGAGTGCAAGAATGAGAATAACAATTTTATTCAGAGAGAGTGTAACAAAAAGAATGACAATTTTTTTCCGAGAAAGAGAATATACGGGCGAGAACAACAAATTTTTTCTGAGAACAGAAAGAATAATCGAGAAAAGTTGCTCTCATAACGCTAATGATCGGGTAATGTAAACTTAGTCGCTAAAAATGATGAAAGTCTTTGGCAGCTACTAGCTGATATGATTCAGGTTTTTTATGAGGTACTTCGTCACTTTTAACGAAAGAATCTCACTCTAAATCATGGCTGATCCAAGATTTGACATTTATCCACACAAAACTAAAAGTTTTCTCAAAAACAGTTTCTAGGTCTGTTTCAATAAATGTTACTATTTGTTGCCGATAGCGACAAAAAATCTTGACCTCTGTACAAATTTTTTATGTACTGCACAAACCTATCAATTTGACGTAGTAGAAAACAATTATTTGAGCGTACCATAGTCTATGGAATCTGAACCTAAGATAGGCTTTAGTCTGCGCAAGCCGTGTGATTCCATCATCTACGAATAGACGCTATCTAAGCCTTCATTTATTCCATCCACGAGCCTACCTAAGCCTTTAGCTGTCCAACCTAGAGTAGGCCCGAGTATACTCAGGACTTGTGACCCCTCCGTTCATGGTCATGTTACAAAAGTGACATGAACGATATAGTTAATAAATTGTTGTTCATGTATGCCCATTTTGTTTAGTTACATATTAATGTCTAATTAAACTTCATTTTCTATTTTGTCGGTATATTTTGATAAACCACTGTGAAATGAGTAGTAAAATAAATTCCACATAATTATGTTTTTTCAAAAATATATATCACTTAGAGGAAATTTTGTCATCAGTAACTTAGTAGAAGGACATAATGAGTGATTAGACGAACGAAAACTTAAGTTTACTTTGAGAGAAGGCCACTAATTCATTTTCTAATTTCAATAAACATCTTCTGATTTTTCTCCTGATTTTTCGCAAAAAACTCCTGGTTTTTGAAATTTGGATTTGGCAGCCCTGGTTCTAATGAATTTTGATAAATCTGCTGAATACAGAGACAGATCGTCACAACAACATGAGAATAAATCATTTGACCATTGATCAACACTCACGTCAGTTTTCATAGAAAAGAACCGATGAAGATAATTGTGCAATGGCCAACATCATCATTAACAATGTATGTGCATCGATATTGTATGCATAATTTCAGCAATGACTGCATAACGCAATTCACTCTTTACTTCGGAGTTGTTCTAAATGACTATCAAACAAAGACAAATATCTACTTTTCGGAATAAAATGCGAAAAACGATCAAAATGTATTTGGTACTAATCAGTCGAGCTATTACTCTTATTCATCGTACTGTATAGTTTTCAACATAGATAAATAGTATCTTTTCATTTCGATTGATTTTTATTTCCTTGCAGAATTCTAATAAGTATTCTCGCATCAGCTTGATTTATTATTCAAGGTGAATGATTTGAATAATAATAAGAAGAAAAATCGAGATGACAACTTTGACGCTTCATATGAATGAAGAATATTTTTAATGCATATTTATATCAATGTGGCACTTTATTGACGAAAACTAAGCTGTGCTTCTAGATTGATACAATGCCTAGTCCATTCATGCAAGCAATGGCATCAGTCTGTGTTAAAGAAAGCTTACGAGTGCAAAAATAGTTATTGATATGTAGAACTGAATGCATTTCATCAATTTAATTTATGGCTTTTTTTTCAGAGTTCTGATATAAAGTAAGGGTAAACAAACAGAAATAAGCAATAGTACCGATGTTTGTGCATATGCGTCATTCACTGGTACCAGCCATATCGAGCCCAATAATCAGACAAAAAGTGCATTCTTTTTCTTTTTTTTTCCTTTCTTGTCTTCTGACATTGGGACACACATGTATAAATAGGTGAGAAGAAATGATATGTTCCCATGTCGTCTTTTTTTTGTGAAAACCAACGGTAACCGACGGTTTTGAGAAAAACCACCGGTTACCGCCGGTTTTAATTGAAACCGCCAGTTAACTGCGGTTAACCAACGGTTGAAATTCAAACCGATGATTAATTGCGGTTAACCAACGGTTAAAATTCAAACCGATGGTTAACTGCAGTTAACAAACGATTTTATTGGGTCAGTTCTGATAACTATAATTTTTGAAAAAAATATTAATTCTAAACATATTCATAATCGAATGCAGGATTTACTGCCGTAAATAAAATTCATAACGCGCACTTTGTTTATATAAAAAACCCATAAAAAATAAAACAAAAATAATGATCAATTATTAATTGAACTAATTGATTTTCTTTTTAAATTAAACAGTAAAGATTTTTTCTATGAAAATTGAATTTTATACTAGTTACATCAAGATTCAAAAGATTTATGAGAAAAAACATTAGAACAGGCATCCTTCCACATTCCTTTCTTTTTTTTTTGGTCGGAGATATTTTTATTGATCTTTATTCACTTATGTGATTTATAAACGTTCGCAACGTCAAAAACAAAGAAATCGAAAATATTCAGTTCATACAGAATAAACATGTTTCTATAAATTTCTTCAATCATTCAATGTCCCTATGTCCCCGCCTTGAAAAAAAAATCATTGCAAAAATTTAGATAACCTAAAAATAATCATTTTTTTTAAAAATTTTCATGAATCGTTCAATGTCCCGATGTCCCCTTGTTGGAAAAAAATCATTAAAAAAATTTTGATAATTTAAAATAATTACTTTTTTTGACATTCGATGAATCATTCAATGTCTCAATGTCCCTGCATTGGAAAAAATGAGAACAATTAGAGAAATAAAACAAAGATTTTGTTTCTTTAAAATTTCAACGATTATTTATCTTTAAGGAAATGATTATTTGAACAGTAGTTTGTTTACAAATACTTATTTTTTTTAATGTAATTTATATGAAAAATTATCTAGAATAGTAGATATTTACAACGGCAGTAAAGGCTACCACCACAATATTGACAGTATATCGTTTGAGGTGAAAAGACTTTATTTGAATTGTTCTTTTGATATTTACATTATTGTTAAGGCGAAAAAAAATATATAAATATTGTCTTCATAACATAGGGATAAAAACTTTTTTTTATTGATTAACTAAGTTATATATATTTTAGACGACATTCTAACAAATGTCGATTTTTATTTCTTTACTTTTCTTGTTCATCTTTCTCGAGGGTATAGTAGGCCTGGACGTCTTTCTTTTCGTCTAAAGTAAATGAAATGTACTTATTATGCGTGCGCGGACGGTATAACAATGTGCCTATACATTCCATTTTGTTTATTTGCGTATATGTATATATATGTATGTGTATCAGTCGGTTAGCGTTTCATTTGATTATCTTTAGATTTTTTTTTTCATATATGTATAAGAAACAATTCTATTCTCGACGTGTAGTTAATCGACGTCAAAGACGTTTAAAAAAATTAGAAAAACAAGAAAATTATTTGAATTCTTCAAGTGAAAGTGATAATGAAGATTATAATGTTAATCAACATGTATATAATATAAATTCCATAACTTCCAATGATCTTTTAGCACTTGATGATGATTTAAATACACACGAAAATTACCATGATGATGAACATGATAACACCAACAAATTAAATGATTTTCAAGATACTATTTTTGATCATTCACCACCGCTATATAATGGCTGTCGATTTTCCACAATTAAATCAGTTAAAATGTTAATAAATTTTTTTTCTCGAATTAATTTAGATAAAACAAATACTATTAATTTAATGAAATTGATAAAACTTATACTACCAATTAAAAATGCATTACCTACATCATGGAAATGCATAATGAAATTATTTGGAAAAACCAATTTTTCATCGACGACATTTTTTTGTTCAAAATGTTTTAATGAATGTGAAAAAACAAGATTTAACACCAAAACTTGTATGAATGATAATTGTTGTTTATCAAAACGAACGTTAAAAACAAACGAGATTGTGGAAGTAGTAAATCTTGATATTCGTGGTCAAATGAAGTCTATTATTACTCGAAATATAAATTTATTAACCCAAAGCTATGATTTATTTCCACCGTCTGATGTAACCTCAGCCTCTCTTTATAGAACAACAATATCAAATACAAAATGTAACACCATTACAATTATTATTCACACAGACGGTGCTCCTTTAGTACGTTCAAGTAAACAATCGATATGGCCTTGCTTTGCTTCGATTGTTGAATTACCTCCTCCAATAAGGGAGCATCAAACTAATATAATGCTTTTAGCTTTATGGTCGGCTAAAGTAAAACCAAATGTCAATGTATTTCTCGAAAGAACCATGTAAGTTATATAGACAGTTGACTTGTTTCGTATTAATAAACGAAGTCGAGCTCAACTGTTACAAGTGCAATTACTTACTGTTTTCTATTCATTTTAGAAGTGATATTGCACAACTTATGACTCATGGTACATCATTTTATATCAATAACATCGAATATAATATTGTCGTACGTACCCAGTTCTTTGTGTCAGATCTACCAGCAAAGGCACTATTCTTAAGAACTACGAATTACAACGGTTATTTTGCATGTAATTATTGTTTAACGAAAGGTATATGGTATCTCAGACAATGACTGAATATCGAGTCATTGAAATTTTAATATTTTAAAACCTCGAATAACGTCTGTTTGTTTTTCTTATTAATACTGACTCTTATGGAATTTAGAGTGTAATGATCGAGACATTATTTTGTAAGGACGGCTATGAGATGACAAAATGAATGGAAGATGTAGAGGCTTTACACTAATCAATACAATTGAGTAAATAAATGTTACGAAATACATTAGAATTTTGAAAAAATTCAAAACTTTCTTTTTATTTCAAATTTTTGATGAGTACTCTCACCATTATCAGGCAATAATCACAACAAAAAAAATTATTCATATATACAGATATAGAACGAAAAGAACAAACAAATTTTATTAATTATCTTACAAGATAAGTGTAATTGAATAATCCATTATAATTTCGCCAATATGTAATCCTTCATTCAATTAGACTTATCATGTAACATAATTAAACGTGTTTGTTCTTTTTTGTTATATATCTATGTATCTGCATAATTACTTTTTTTTGTACTTATTTCCTTACGATGGTTTATGACTGACCAATATTTTTATTTTCGTTATAGGATTTTGGAGTGGTTCATCTGTGCTATACCCATATGATAAAAATAATTTAGAATTACGTACCCATTCAGGATTTATTGCAGCGGCTAAATCAGCCGAGAAACAATCAACAGAAAAACGAGTTGCAAATGTAGAAGGTGTGAAGGGTTTATCATGTTTATTAAAAATTATTTCATATCCTCAACAAGTTGTGCTAGATTATATGCACCTCGTGTGTTTAGGTCATGTACAGACTTTAATTAAAAGGTGGTGCCAATTAATTAACAAAGCTGATATAATGAAAATGGATAGTATGTTATCCATGACACGTTTTCCACATAACATACATGTTATGTACAATGAATCAATTTTAGCTGTTGACTCGTGGAAAGCTAAACACAGCAGATTGTTGGTCCTGAATCTCGGTATACCTACTGGTATGTTATCAATTTCATGCTTTTTCTTTCATTTATGAATTCCTGACATAAATTAAGAATTATTATTTCGTCTTTTTTTCTTTTCTTTTAGGTATAGCTTGCCTACCTACATTACATGCATCACATTGGACAATTTACTGTTTGTTTGTTAAATTATTGCATGCACCACAATCATTTGAAGAGATAGATTTTGCTGAAAAATTAATTAATTATTATTGTCGTACAATAGTTGATGTTTATGATAAATCATTAGAATTATTTTCATTACATGCACATCTCCATTTACCCGGTCAAGTACGACTACATGGTGGTTTATCAACATCATCAGTAAGATATTCATTCGTTAAATAGAACATTAGATGATAAATCATAATTTTTCTTTATCATAGGCATTTACATTTGAGTCTTGTATTCGATATTTAAAAAGTAAGGTGCATGGTACAAAATATTTGGCTACACAAATAGCTTATTGGTATGATATTGAAACCATCGTCAAAACTACAACATTTGAAGTAACAGCACCATGTGGTGTTAATGCAATTAATATTTTTAATGAAAAAATGAATCATTATCGTAAAATAATAGTTACTCTTCTTCGTACTCATCAACAAGATTTAAACCAAATTATATTTTACACGCGTTATAAGAAACGCTTTTTAACTTTCCATACAGTACTTTATGATAAACCATATAAATGTCGTAGTTACATCGTATCATACATTAATAATAGTAGTGATTATGACGCGCTCAATTATGCAAATATAATTGTATTTTATAAATATCACAATGATTATTTTGCACTTATACAAAAATATCATTTTTCACGAAAAAAGCTCTCGCATTACGTAGAATTACCTGTAGAAATATGTCAACAAGTGGATAAATTATTTCCATTACTTGAACTGTCGGATGATTATGACATTATTCCTGTAGCAATGGTTCACCATCAATGTATAATGGTAGAATTTGAAGATGTTTGTTGTTTATCAGAATTAAGAATTGATTCTGAACATGATTAAATAAAATATTAAATAAATGATTTGACTTAATACTTTGTTGATATTTCGATAGAGTATGTTTGTTGTTATTGTAGATTTGATTTTTATTTTCAGTTACTTTACGCTGGTTTTCTTCGAATGGCATCAACGAACATATACGGAAAACATTATCTTACAAAGTCTCGTACAAAAAACGATGATAATGCATATGTGTTGATATTATTTAAATGTGACAATACGTTTATTATTAAAAAAAAATCAAATCTTCATAGTATTGCAGAAAATGGCCTAGTGACGATCAAAGATCGAAATAAAGCTTACGTTGGTTATTGTTTATTTGAGGGTGAGTGTTTGATAAAGAGATACCGTAATACAGTCCGTGAAGATTTCTATTCCAAACTCTCACATATTATAGGATCATTGGCAGAAGTAGAAGCTGCGGCTGAGCGTTTAGACAGAGAAATGAATACTGATTTAGAATCAGATTGTGAAAATGTTATGAATAATCATACATTAAAAGAACAACTAGGATTGGGTCAATCTTCAACATTAAAAACGCCAAACAATTCAAGTATTGAAATTGATCGTTCAGCAACAATGAAAAATAATAAGGTTCAGAAAAAAATAGATAATGGTAGTGGTTCTAACAGCAAGCATTTAAAATAATTAATGATAATTTATGTTTACTTTTAGATTTAACAGATTCAACAAAACGATCTTTAGCTACGACGTCTTTTGATAGTAAGATATACATTGTATTCTATACATGAAAATTGTTTGGCTTTCATTGCAGATGCATCAAAAATTTATGAAACACCACCAATTTCAGATAAGACTGTTCAAAAAAAAAATGCACAGGAAGCATCATGTAAACAAAGTAAGAATTATATAGCATAATAATTTTACTGGTATTGTTTCTTTAGATGTTACTTCTGCTTATCAAGCCCTACGTGATATTCAATATGTAACCAGAGATGAAGAAAGTCGACAAAGTGAAGAAACATTATCGTCATATGACGATGCTGATGATTTTGAAACCGATGATGATGACGATTCAACAGAAACAATAATTGGTTTGACAAAGTCATTAACATCAGCAGCACGATTGAAATCAACATCAGTTAATAAAGTTAAATCACACCAATCCAAACAATCTTCATCATATGCTTTAAAAACAACTTCGAAACGGTTGTGCAATAAACAACTTTTTCCTTCAGGCAGTGATGGTAATCAAGAAATAGTGACATTATTAAAATCATTAATATTAACAAACAAGGATTTAGCAAGAGATATGAAACAATCATTACTTGATATAAAACAGTTGTTTGTATTGGTCGAGAAGTTGGATGCGAAGCTCAATTTGATATTTGAAAACCAAAAAAAAATACAGCGAGCATTAGCAAAAAGAAAAGTAAGTCAAATTTTTTTAAAGAAGTTTTCAGAAAAAAATAAGAGTGTTATATCATCTTTTAGATTAATGTAGCACTACTTGGTGGTGATTTCGATACAGAAAATCAATCACAGAGTGATGTACCATTTCAACAGTCGCTGGTAAATTTTTCATATTAGTCTGCTTCCTTTTATATTTCTTTAATTTTAGAATTACAAGAAGGAAGATGGTACAACTATTGATTTGTTACAATTATGCGGCGTTCGAACACAGATAGGACGTTTCGTCGCTCTGGTGATGGATCATGTTTTTACAAAACATGAACTATGCACCATTACAACAAGTCAATTGATAAAAGATGAACGTTACAACACTATTAAGGGTAGGAGAATAATAAAATTGATAAGTTTCATTATTCTGATATTTACTTTTTTTAGAAGCTGTAAGATCAAGATTCAAACTAAATGCGGAAGAAATAAATATGGAATGGTCAACGATTCATGAAAGTATACTTCAAAAACGACGCAACGAAAGTAAAAAGAAAAATGGTAATACCAGTGCCGTCAACAACAACCAATTACCACCACAATAAACAAATAATCATGATATTGTTCAGAATGATACAAAAGTTAATTTTAAAAATTGTCTTTCTGCCCTAGTTTTTTGTATATTAATATATTTGTGTTCTACGTGAAATTTTTTTTTCATGTGCTTTTTGTGTATATTGTATCATATATGTAATAACTTACAAATAGAAAGAAAAATAAACAAATTATACATGAAAAACAATATTTATTAATAGATGTGGCCGGCCTAATTTTTTTCGATACAGCTGGGAAAAAGAACCGTCGGTGAATCCTGATTTACCGTCGGTTGACTGTGGTTAACCACGGTTAACCGTAAATTTCCCGGTTAACCACGGTATACCGAATGGTTAACCTCCCAGTTGACCGAACGGTTAACCGTGGTTAACTGACGGTTTTTTACCGGTTCGAGCGACATGGGTTTATTACACAAAAATCTAACACCCAAACATGATCAAACTCGTCATCTTTATTACATTCGTATGTTGCTTTCAAGTTGATTCATGTTAGCATCATCATCAATAACCTTTTTGTTTTAGATATGCTTTGGTCTTGCCGCACCTCGTGAACATTCCGATAAAGAACAGCACAAGGATGGTGGCGATCATTTTGCATCGAATGGTAATGTCAAACGATTGGCATCAAGAATATATGCCAATAGTAATTCGACTCAATCGTTTCTTACCCAAGCTCGAGCACACGTTGCACAACTGAACTCGAATCCATCATTTGCACAAGTTCGTCCAAACAAAACACAAGAAATGGCTTACATAGAAAGTGATGACAAAGCAGCACTTCTCTCATCGAATCGTACACAATATTTCAATGGTCTTGCAGTTGCACGAAATGCTGATAAGAAAATGCAACGTCAACAACAAAAAGATCAGACCACTGGTGCTCCTCTCTTCCAAAAAATCGTTTCAAGTCTTTTTGGTAGTAAGGATCGCAGCAGTGACGATGACTAAAAACATTCTTTGTTTTCATGTTTCCAATTCAACTATAAATCGTATTCGATTGTAAACAAAATAATCTATATTTATGCAAGCCATGATTTTCTTTGATGAGAACATTGAAATAAACTCGAATTATCATGTCACATTATATCATTTGCTATTCATTTTCAAGAAAATCTGTGTTGTATTCGAGTAATGTTGGCTATTTTTGTGGCACTCACTCTAATTTCCTATATGCTCATCATAAGAGCAAAGATTGATCAACTTCGATAATAGTTCATTCTCATAGACAACGCATTTGACGATTCATTTTTCTTTCTTCAAGTGAAAATCTCTACGAAACCAATATATACGTATATAAATGGGGTTAACTATGATTCATTACAAAAACGATTTCGATTCCTATCAAAAACTATTCGATTACATCCGTAATGAGTTAAAAGATTCAGAAATACCAAGCTAATCGAGAACGTGTCCAACTCCGGTTTCCTCAAGTAACTCGTCTATTTTATACTTGGTACGTTTACAAAAGTATCAAACGACAAATAATCAAGATCCATCCCCTGAGTTTGAAAAGCATATTGATGAATATCATGTCATGAAAAACCATATGAAAAAAACAAAATGAGCAACCCTATCACAATTCGTCAGATTTTTTTTCGCTTAGCTCACTCGCTAGTAAATGAATACATTTCGACCACATCGCATTGTCTTAACAGTGAAAGCTTCCTATAGTAGAAGCTCTTTGAACTTTTCAAAAGTATCCACTATAGAACAGTTAAGTCTATTCCAAAAGTCATTATTATTAAATGTATTCAAGTGCTCGAATGATTTGTTGTTGATCAGACGATAACTAATTGTTTGAGCTTTAATCTAGCTATGCAAGTTTTCTTTTATTAGAACTATATTGGATTTATCATTACTTAAATAATGATATTCATCCAAATAAGTACCGCTATTGTGAGAACTTTTTACATAACGTTTTCGTATACTAAGACTCTGGACAGTAACACTTTGCTTATGATTTTAAAGCAATATTAGTACGAAGATGACGATTATATATATATTAATTTCTTCATCTATATCAGTCAATTTTTATAGAT